ATTCAGGTTTTCGTCACCTCCGTCAGATGTGTCAACTCCGTCCGTTGAATATTTTGATAATATTTCATTATGATATTTTATATTTGTTGTGGAATTGTTGGTCACATGTGAAAGTGTAATCTGTCTGCTAACACGAGAATGTGTTTTGAAATGTTAAAAACATCTTGAATGCTGTTAAAGATAAAGCTGAAATTATATTACACAGTCCAAGCTAAAAAAAGCACATTTTGTTAAAAAAGAGAAAAGTTGGGAGGTTGTATCAAAGCATAGCTCAGTAGCTTAGTACATATAACATACATAAATGTAGTTTCATTTGTCTGAGTACAAGGTTTTATCTTTTCAATTTTGCACCCTGTTTTGTCCCATTTCTCAAGAATGACTAAACTAAAGGTTTTGAGTCAAATGTGCAATTACACAAAGATATGTTTCCCTATTCAGTGGTTTTGTATCGTTTTCACACTTAGTGTTACACACTTAATAACACTTAGTTGGAAAAAAATATAGAATTTTGTGCTTCTTATATCAACAGTTTTGTTATAGGCCTATAAAACTATATTGAATGAACATTTTAACTAAAAGGTTCGAAGCTTATGTATTTAAAGTGTATTAATTACAATGATTGTGTACAATGATTTTTTTTTGGTGTTTACATTTGGTTTAAAAGCCCGAAATAATATATTATTCAGTGGCAGATCTCACTGACACAGCTCATTCCATATCAGTGCTGTTATCATTAACAAAAACTACAGCTAAAAACTATTGAAACATTTGTGTTGATTGAAATGAAACTGAAATAAAATACAATAGAAATATAAGATTAAACAAAGTAAACTGAATGAAGATAAGAAATGCTCATGTGGTGACTAAATGAAATAAGATGTTTAATTTGAAGTTTCTGAAAAACTAAAACTGAAATAAAAATTCATGAAAACTAGAAATGTTTAAAACAAACCAAAACTAATAAAATGACCAAAACAAACAACAAAATTACTACAATTTAAACTAACATTAAAACAAAAATTGAAAATATAAAAAAATGTAATGTGTTTGACCTGTAATATAAACGTACAGTGTTTTATTTTATTTTATTTTTTTTATATATCCGCCCTGAGAAATATTCACTATAATAAAAAAGTGACATCTTGCCTATAATGTTTACAATAAACAAAATTACGTTGATTGTAGACATTTGTCATTAGACTTTGTGGACCACTGCTAGTATGCCAGTGGGGAATTGATTTCACACATTAAAAATCACCTTGAGTTCAAATCACCTGCTAGTTAAATGTTGTAGCAAAACTGCCTAAGATAAGTTTCTGGTGTTGTACTTTTTAGGACTACATGTCCAAACCTCCTAATATCTGAGTATCTGTTTATTTAGCCTCAAAAACAAACAATCCAGTGTCCAGAAGCTGCGTACATATTCAACAATCTATTGAGGTATTCAGAAAAGGGGGGCGTGAGAAACATGCAAATGCAGCTGTGTCCAGTTAGCTTTCTAGAGCTCTGCTGGATGCATGGACAATCAGCAGAAGTCTCCGCCTCCCACTCGTGTGATGGCTTCTCAGGTCTATCCGGTCCTCAGTGCGTTGGGCTCTCTGAGCTCCCTGAGTTCTCAGGGGCTGGCTGTAGGGCTGGGTTACACCTCTCTCATTCCTCTCCTCAGGTCCCTGCCACTGTGTTTTTCTTCCCTGTCCTGGGCAGCACACACACTCACATACACACGCCTTTCTTTTCCTTGGATCCACCATCCTGGGCTGAGAAGCCAGGAGAGAGGGTGGCAAGGTTTGGAGGAACCGCTGGGACGATTGGTTTTTGAATAGTGATTCTTCACCATGGCTAGATTCTTCATCATCTTCAGAAGCTTGGTCCTGGTGCAGGCACTCTGCTTGGCCTTATCGCAAGTGGTGAGTTTGGCTGCGGTTATCTACTTTTTCTTGGTGCTGGATGATCTTGAGGATGAGATCATGCATCTTGGAGAACATCTTATGGATTGCGATGTGATTCACTGTGAATTGTACTGGATTGTCAGTCAAAATGCCAATGGATAAAGTTAATTTAGATGAAATTCATGCAATTAGTTTACTAGTTTGGTTAGATTACATGTATATTGGAGACTTTTGATACTCAAAGTTGCAAGACTTTTGAGTTTTTTGAACTTCTGAAAGTTTATCCAAGTGGATTATATTGCTTTCTACAGCATGCAGATACAAGAGGTCTGGTATTTAACAATAGACTATTTTCAGTCAGTGTTATCTTTTGATTCTGAAAGCTTAAACTATTCAGTTCAGTAAATGAAATGAATAAATGGAAAGCTGCTGAATAAAATATGAAGCTGAAAGTGAACATGAGACAAATGAACAGAGAGAAGAGAAGGTAGAAAGGAGAGAGTACAAAGAGGCCACTGAAAATGCACTGCTGCCAGAAGCTGCTATTCAAACAGACAGAACCTGAAACTGCTCTCAGCAGAATAACACATACTTGTCACATTTAGAAGGACCGCCTCAGTTCAATGCTTGCATGCAGCTCATATGCATAAAATGCAATGGATTAAATGAATGTGCATTCATTTTGAGTCAACCACCTTGTCAAGTAATGCATTGAAAAATAGATGTATCTTTGATGCTGAATGGGGGAGGGTCTGTGTAAACATTCCCAGCCTCTCTT